ATTCCATAACTACTACTTCATTTATGGGTGAAGAAAGGCACATATACAAAGACTAGGCAATATCTAGTAAGTAAAAGAGGTTAAAGTAAAACTCCAAGTGAGGTTGTCCTGTGACATCCATTTTCCTTCTTTTCTACTTGGCTTCTCTGGGCAAGGGATGTACCTCGAGGGTACCATGATTGCCTAACATGAGTGAGGTCCTGGCTTGCAACCCCAGCACAACAGCCCCACCCCACTGCCAGTCCTTCCAGTAGGTAATTGATGTTTTCAGTAGTTAGGCCTAAGAAAGAACATACTTTCTGCAGACAATAATTAAATATTTGTTTGGAAAAAAGGGGGAAGTATATGATATTAAACATTTGCAATTTTATAACTTATTTTTATTTGGACATAGTGTTCTATACTTTCCTGAAAACCCTTTCATTTTCTTAGGACTGCTCTTCATTATGCCTGTGCCTGTGGCCATCCAGAAGTGGTGATACTCCTGATATAGAAGAAATGCTGCATTAACTTCTGTGACAGTAACAGCAGCATAGTTCTGGTTAAGGTAGATAGTAGCTGAAGATGGATTTTATTAGAATTCCTAGAAGCAATGCATTTTTTTCCAAGTGTGGCTAGTTGGTGAATCCTGTCATATATTAAATGTGAATTCCTGGAGTTGATATGCCCTTTCTTGGTGCAGTCCTGTCACACTGCACAATTCCAGGAGGAAGAATGTGATATGATTTTGCTGAAATCTGGAGCAGATCCAAATGTTGTGGATGCCAGGGGCAGCACTGCTCTGCACTTCGCTGTTGACCATGAGAACACAGGCACAGCATCAGACCTGCTGATGGACATAGCAATCATTGAAGCAAAAAACAAGGTATATTTAGATCGACTTTATTTACAATTATTTGACATCTCTTTTTTTAACAGTGATACATTCAGAAGAATTTCAACATTCATCCTTTTAAAGAAATCCTGGAAATTACAGGTTTCTTTAAGGTCATTTAAGTATATATTAGTACA